ATAGGGACTACTATAAGGGGCCTTAAGGGACTATCATAGGAATCCATTCCCCCATTCCCTACTAAGCACCAGCAACCATCAACTCTTAAAGCCCGAAAGCGCGCAACTCCAGATGCCCTCAGCCCTAAACCCTAAACTCCTGATGCCCTTAGGCCTAAACCCTAAGCCCTCAACTGCTGATGCCCGCAGCCCTAAACCCTAAACCAAAAAAAACCTAAACCGAAAACCACAAGAAACCCAAAAACTAAGCCATAAAAAGCATTAAACCCCAAACCCTAAAACTATGAACTTGGAAGTTCCGGTGGTCTCAACGCCACCCGTATCAAAACCCCGAAAAGGAGGCCCTCGAAAAAGGAGCCCTTGATGGGACCATGCACTCTTAAAGGCGCCCTTGAAGGGAACCTTATAACGTAGGGGCCTTAATAATTGGAATAGGGTTTTTGGGTCTATTATGCTATAAAATCATATTAATAAGGACCCCCCCAAAAGAGTATAGGTAATATTATTTAGGCCCCTCTATCCACCGGTATGAAGGTGGCTTTAAGGTCTGGGGTGTTTGTTCCGAATGCGAGACGCCGCACCACAAACGACTCATCTCTAAACCCTAAACCCTAAACCCTAAACCCTGAACCCTAAACCCTAAACCCTGAATCCTTACCATAGGAACCTTGGCCCTTCAAACTCTTGGGAAGAAGTAACAGTTTGGGGCTTAAAGCTTAGGGTTAACCCCGGAATTCCTAAACCCCCTATAAACCCTAAAACCCTATAGCCCTATAAACCCTAAAAGCCCTATAAACCATAAACCCCTATAAACCCTAAACCCCTGAGCCCCTATAAACCGTGCTTCGTGCAATCGCGCCACACAGCCAGCCGTTGGCGCCGCGGGAAGGTGCCGGTCGTTGGGCAACTTCGATGCCTGGGGCAAACCGAAGCTCTAAGAAAAGAAAAAACCTACAGGTGGGGAGCTTAGGGTATATCGGGCTTCTAAAAGGCTTCTATAAGGTATATAGACCTTCTTTAAGGCTCCTATTAACCCAGAGAACCCATTACCCCTTAGTTACGGAAAATACCTTAAACTATAGAAGCCCTATGACTTAAGGTATATTCCTTAACTAAGGGGTATTGGGTTCTCTGGGAAATCCTAAACCCTAGACCTTAAGCAATGAACGAGCCACGGTTTCAGGGTTTATAGAGCCTTAGCAGGGTGATGAAGTTGGGGGGGTTTCGGGTTTGGGGGTCTTGGGTTGATGGCTTTAGGAGTTAAGGCGTTTCAAGTCTCAACCTTAGGATTTAGGGTTTATGTCAGGGGCTGCCTTAACCCCAAAGAACCTACCTGTCTAGGGCTCCTTTTTATGATTTCCTCAAAAAGGTAGGTTCTTCGGGTGGGGTCTAGGAAAGGTTTAAAGATCAAGTTTAGGGTTTAGGGCCTGCGGCTCGGGGCCGCTCTGGAGTTTAGGGTTTAAAGGTTTAGTGTTTAGTGCCTAGGGATAATATAGGGGCCTATAAATCGTTACCGATACTCTTTTGGAGGTTCCTTATCATGATTATAGTAGGATACACCTCAAAAATAAACCCTAAACCCTAAACCCTAAACCCAAAAGGGACCCTTTAGAGAACTACCCATATACCTCAAAAAGTATTAAGGCCCCTATGTTAATCAGGCTTCAGTGCTTCAGGAACTTCGGGGAGTGACTTAAAGTTCTGGTTGGATGGTTGTGCCACAAACTTCTACGAAGTCGCTCTTGAGAGTTTTGTTAAGGGTTTAGGGTTTAAGGTTTGCGGTTTAAGGCTTAGGGACGTAGGGTTTAGGGATTTAGGGTTTAAAGCTTATTGCTTAGGGTTGACCCAAAACTCTATGCCCTGAAACCCTTTTTAAACAGCCGAAAGCCCAAAGCCTGAACTTTTGAAACGTCTGAAGAAAGGCCCTAAACCCTAAACCCCAAAACCCTAAACCCTAAACCCAAAGCCCTAAACCCTAAACCCCAGGCCCCAAAAATGTGCCCCGCCCCAACGGGTGCCTGCCGGTCACTTCCAGCGCGGTGGCGTGGCGATCCACGGGAACCTCACAAGGCACAGGAATAAAGGGCTATGTAGGGGCCTTAATAATCAACATAAGGTTTTGGGGTAACAAGGCACAGGATTAAAGGGTAATGTAAGGGCTTTACTAATTAGAATAGGGTTTTGGGGTACATAATACTACTATATAAATATATTAAGGAACCCCAAAGTGGCCTTAATAATTGAACTAGGGTTTTGGGGTATATTATACTACTATCTAGTTATAATCAGGAACCGCAAAGTAGCATAGGTAAAGTAGCATAGGTAATTATTAAGACCCCTTACTAGTTGAGATCGGACTTTAGGGTTAAATAAAGCTTCCTCTGGATTTAGAGCTCGGGTTCAGAGATATAGAGGGTAGTGTAATACCATACTTTAGGGTTCATAGACCAATGCTGACATGGCTTCTAGGCTTCAGGGCTTTGGGGTGTGGGGTGTTTAAAGCCTTGCTAGACCCCCCAACTGCCCTCTAATACACCCGAAATGCCTGCTATAAGTCAAGGCCCACAAGGACTCTATTACGTAAAGGGCCCAATAGAGGGCTCGAAAGTGAAAAAGGACGGAGGACCGACATGTTGAGGGCTTCGGGTTTAGGGATGTTGAACGGCGGTTTATATGAATATAGGGGTTTAGTTTAGGGGTCTAGGGGTTTAGGGCCCTACTATAGAAGGCTGCTGCGATGCGTGGAGTCTTCGGGCTAAAGTATAGGGATTCAAAGGAAATATAAAGGTCATGAGTCCCTACATTTGAGGGTCGCTTCTTGACCTCGTCTGAAGAATGGTTGCTGCCACAACCTGTTACGCGCAGACTTGCAGGCCCAGCCGACAGCCAGCATGTTTGCTTTGCGTGCTCCTAAAAGTGTGAGTGCTACGTTAGCAAAGAAGACACAAACTTGAGGGTGTAGGTGTCACATCTTCTCAATCAGCCCGCCCGAAACTAACCCCAACGTCTTCCTTACTTCGCCCAACGCTAAGCACCTTCCTTTGAGCCCAACACATTAAAACAACAATCACCTGCTATGCATGCCTACTCCAGACATGAGTAATTAGCGGCCTTCAAGCCGCACCGGTTCCTCTAGCTGAAATTCTGACACCACGACTCCCGGTTCTTCAAATAAAGCTTGTTTTAGGGGAGGTTGTAGTGTCTGTCTGCGGTTCCAACTGCTTGGCAGTAGGAACTACTGTATGAGCTCTTAATATTTTGCCTGCCTCGAGGCACTCAATATTTTTTCTATCACGGGGAAGCTCTGTAAAGCTAGAAATGCAACTTTTCTAGCCCGCTGTAGTCCCAAACCCTGCCAAACACTACGCTGTGACCTCATGAGCAAAGATTTGAAGTAGAGACTGCAGAAAACTTATGTACTCTACATTCAGGGAGTGGGCTCGACATAGAAGCCTGGATAATTGCCCAAAAAGACTTCTTAAAGGTCTCCTTTTACAATAATACCATAGTAGTACACCCCAGAGCCCTATTCGACTAGTTATAAAGCACCTGTTTTACTCACCGCCCTAAACCTTAAACCTGTCCCAAGGCGCCGGGAATGGACAGCGAAGACTCGATGCCATCCTCCTGCACAGTACCTCTTCAGGATCGTTGAGGTTTAGGGTTCCTTAAAGGATACTACAAGGGTTCCTTGACAGGGCACTGCAAAGGCGTTCCTTTTAATGGGAACTACAAGGGTTCCTTGAAAGGGTACTATAAGGGTTGCATTAAAGCGTGCTATAATGAGTTCGTTTTATAAAGGGTACTATAATGTACAAGGGTTCCTTTAAAGGGATCTACAAGCACTTCATACTATAACTTATTCCTAACCCTCCACGTGCCTACTATATAGGGTACTAGAGCCCCTGGGGCCCTATATAGTAGGTACCTGGGGTCAAGGGTTATAATTCCTGAACTTTGCACCCTGCTCCCACCCTCCTAGATCTGTCGAACCTACAGGATCACAACCTGATAACAGCCCCATAGAATGCCACTGCCCTGCACAAACCAAGGCAATCCCTAAACCCTCAACCCCTAAATCCCTAAACCCTTTTCCCTCAACCCTAAACCCAAAGTCCCTAAACTTACACCCTAAATCCCTAAACCCTAAACCCTCAACCCTAAACCCAAAATCCCTAAACTTACACCCTAAATCCCTAAACTTACACCCTAAATCCCTAAACTTGCACCCTAAATCCCTAAACTTACACCCCAAATCCCCAAACTTACACCCTAAATCCCTAAACCCTAAACCCCACTGAGGCCACTGCCGGATGCGATGTGGGCCGAGATCAACCTCGCAGCCAACCCAACGGCTCCAAGTCCCAAGTCCCAAGAATCTCAGCTTCCTACAGGGTTTAGGGTTTAGGG